ATAATAAACTTTTCATTTTATTCCTGTTGTTAACTATACCAACTTTAATTGATTAATTTATCTGCTGTTAAATAATATTATTTATATTCTGGAGTGAACAAAAATTTATATTTGAAAGAACGCCAGATTCTGGTATCCCTAAAATAGAGACTATAACGTGTCCATATGCTATTCAACTTTACAAAGTTGAATAAAGCCAAAAACATCAAAGAATGAGGAAATCTACTTAATAACTTTAAAATACAGATGGAATAATAAAAGAAGGTAAAATCACATGTTTTATTATTGACTTAAACTTTCAAAAAAAATTTTGACGAGGGAAAGAGCGTTGAATACAGCTCTGCTAAATTTGGCAGCTTTTCTTGCAAGGCAATATTTAAAATTTTAAACGATTATATTATTGTTTGTATTAGTTTTTATATTATTTGGGAATGAATTTTTAAAATTTGAAAATTATGTATTTAATACTTTACATGCTTTAACTTTAGAAAGTTTATTTACAAAGATTAAAAAATTAATATCAAAGAAAAGATCTTGGATCTTCAAAAATGATTTCACAATTATAATACTAATTATTTTACCAAATCAAAAGAAATATTTTCTAAATATAAATAAATAGTTTCCTATATAAGGGACTCTAAGACCCAAAGAGGGTTATTGAAAAATAGAAGCCCATGACTATATTAGAGACAATACGGTTTAAAGGTCACAATAAAAAAAGTTATAAAAACATCAATTTTTCTTTAAAATTTAAATACATCATTTAGTAATATTTGTATATGTTGGGGATACTTAACAGTTATTTTAGAATATGGGTGGACGGAATTGTCGACGAGAAAAATTTTTTTTGGTTGACGGAAAAAATAATATAAGTGTATAGAATCTGGGTTGACTGGAATAGAGATGTATTATACATCACTTTTGTTTTTTCATTTAAATCTACTTTCTAAAATCAATTATAATCAAATCAAAACAAATTCTTCCAAAGTTTCCGGCAAATCAGAGCCAATAATATAATCACCACATTTATGTCCATTATAATTTTCTAAAATTTTCATATTGTCCTCCAACTTGCAAAATTTATCAAATCTATTGTATGTCAGAATAAAACTATTCAAAGGCGTCTTTAAATAATTCCATTGCTCTTGTATAATTTGTTGTTGTCTATTGAATTTTACTTTTTTTATGTTTTCCTAAATTAAAAAAAAATCTTTAGGTTAGAAAGGGTGAACAGACAAACTTTTTGGTTGACGGAAAAAACAGTATAAAAGTATAGAATTTGGGTGGACGGAATGGAAATGTATTATACATCACTTTTGTATAATACATACATACACTTTTGTATAATACATTACATCACTTACATCACTTTTACATCACAAATTATTATAATATATAATAATTTGGCTAAACTCTAAAATAATATAAAAATATTCCCGGTTGATATAAAAGGAACATTTAACGGATATAAGAACTTTAGTGAGAACTTTATTTCATAAGGAACTCGATGATTGGAGTAGAAGGTATTTTAAATATTTTGTAATAACATTTTCAAATTTATTGGGATAATATGTGAAATAGATAAGACGGTTGTTGTCCGTCGAGAGTATGGTCGAGGTCGTGTGCCTTCAAAAACTAATGTCTGGTTGTTTGGGGGTGTAGAAATAAACTCAAAGCATACTTTTTGACTGTTATAGAGGAGAAGAGGCGTGCCGAGAACCTTATTCCTTTAATTCAACAAACAACAATCTATTCCGACATTTGGAACTTCAACTTAATTACTTGACTCCAAAAGGATAACTCATGGAACAATCAAAAAATAAAATAAACTTCTCACACATACCTCATTTATAGTCTCCATCGCATTAATAAAAAATTCTTCTCCGTCATTTTTGATAAATTTAACAAAACAGTATAATTTGAAATAGGGTTCCAACTGGTCATATTCTATTATTTCAGAATCATTTTGATTTTTATAAATTAGAACATCTCGTTGTAATTCCTTAGATTTGCTATATCTTGTTAATATTAGATCCTTCAATGTTAGAGTTGCCTGTTCGGCGTTAGAAGCGAGTTGAATGTATTTTCGAAAGTCATTGTAATATTTCTAGGAAAATAACATAGTAATTTAAAATTTGCTCCCATTAAATATTAGTGTTTAAGTAGGGTTCAACAGACCTACTCATTGACACAAATATGGATACAGATAATATCAAGATGCCTGCGGATATTCGCCTGTTTCGCCGTAAATATCCGGATACAGATACCAAAATCAGTATCCTTGAACAGGTCTGTGTTTAAGAGTTGTATGGAAGGTATTAGATTTCACTCTAATCATTATGACATAAACATATGGGAACATAATTAAAGAAGATTAGTTTTTTCCAATGTCTTCGGGAATAAAAAATGTAAAAATACAAGATTTTGTTTCATCAGGGACCGAGAAATAAAATTATTTTATTGAACTTAAAAAATTGGATGGAAATAGAGGGAACTTTCGACCCAAAACTAAATTTTTTCAAACTTAATTATAATTTTATACAGGTTATCTTGAAGATTTACATTCAGATGATGATCAAGACAATACATAGAGAGTAAACTTTGTTAAAAGAAGACAAGATTTTTGGATCCCTATGATTAGTTGAGTTGGAAGCCGTTTCCTAGATCCCTATGGAGGTCATAAACATGCAAAAATTTTTTCAACCTGATCACAAATAACAATGTTTTTCATTTACTAACGTATAACTCATTTATCTGTCATATTTCCGACTATGTTAGGCAAATAATTTGGGAAGATTGCGAAAAATTTGAAATTGCATGTTTCACTCTACTTATCAGCAACATTTTAGTGATATGTTGATAGAAGGCGTGTTTTCTTAAGTAATGTCAGTGGGGACAGAAATTTCTTGGGGACAGAAACTCAGTGGGGACAGTGGGGACAGAAACTCTTTTTTTTTTATTCCAACTAAAGCTTAAAATTATTGAGAAAAATGTTTAAAAAAATTTTCCGAAATTAGGAATCCTGTCCATAATCATCACCATGACCGACAAAATGTTTAGCAAAGTTATCCAAACATAAAATTTTGCCTAGTTATATATTTCTAATTTTGGGTGCATTAATCAGTTTTTCCCTAAATAATTCTTTTTGTTGAATAAACTTTTGTTATTATTCCTGTTGTTAACTACATACATATACCACTTTAATTGAACAATTTTCCTTTTGTTAAATATATTATTTATTTTCTGTAGTGAACAAAAATTTATATTTGAAAGACTCGCCGGATTCTGTTAGCCCTAAAATAGAGACTATAACTTGTCTCTACATGCTATTTAAAATTTTACCAAGATGAATAAATCAAAAACATAAAAGAATTAAGAGATTTACTCAATAACTTTAAAATACAGGTGGAATAATAAAAGAAAGTAAGATCACATGTTATATTATTGACATAAAATTGGAAAAAATTTTTGACGAGGGAAAGAGCGCTGAATACAGCTCTGCTAAACTGGCAGCTTTTCTTGCAAGGCAATGTTTAAAATTTTAAACGATTATATTATTTGTTTGTATTAGTTTTTATATTATTTGGGAATGAATTTTTAAAATTTGAAAATTATGTATTTAATACTTTACATGCTTTAACTTTAGAAAGTTTATTTACAAAGATTAAAAAATTAATATCAAAGAAAAGATCTTGTATCTTCAAAAATGATTTCACAATTATAATACTAATTTTTTACCTAATCAAAAGAAATATTTTCTAAATATAAATAAATAGTTTTCTATATAAGGGACTCTAAGAACAACTTACATACCGCATTGTCATTAATAGAAACCCATCTCCAATAGAATCCCATGCCTTAATAGAAGCCCAACCAATGATGGTTAATGAAAAATAAATGCCCATGCCCGAATGGAAGCCAATACCTTAATAGAAGCCCATGCCCAGAGCCCACTCAGTGAGTGGTATTGAAAAATACAAGCCCAGGGACTATATTAGAGACAATACGGTTTATAAGGTCACAATAAAAAAAGTTATAAAAACATCAATTTTTCTTTAAAATTTAAATACATTATTTAATAATATCTGTATATGTTGGGGATACTTAACAGTTATTTTAGAATATGGGTGGACGGAATTTTCGACGAGAAAAGTTTTTTTGGGTGGGTGGAAAAAATAATATAAAAGTGTATAGAATACATATGGGTGGACGGAATGGAGATGTATTATACATCACTTTTGTTTTACATTCAAATCTACTTTCCATAATCATTATATCTAAATCGTGACAAATTCTTCCAAAGTTTCCGGTAAATCAGAGCTGATAATATAATCACCACATTGGTGTCCATTATACATTTCTAAAATTTTCATATTATCCTCCAACTTGCTAAATTTATCAAATCTATTGTATGTCAGAATAAAACTATTCAAAGCCCTCTTTAAATAATTCCATTGCTCTTGTATGGTTTGTTGTTGTGTTGAACTTTTTACTTGTTTTACTTTTTCCTAAAGATTAAAAAAATTATTTAGGTTAGAAAGGCTTCTACACATAATTTGGCTTAACTCTAAAATAAAATAAAAATATTCCCGGTTGATATAGAAGTTACATTTAACGGCTATAAGAACTTTAGTGAGAACTTTATTTCTTAAACAACCAGATGATTGGAGGAAAAGGTATTTAAAAATATTTTGTAATATCATTATCAAATTTATTGCTATAAAATGTGAAATAGATAAGACGGTTGTTGTCCGTCGAAAGTATTGACGAGGTCGTGGGCCTTCAAAAACTAGTGTATGGTTGTTTGGGGGTGTAGAAATAAACTCAAAGCATGAAAATTACTTTTTGACTGTTATAGACGGGAAGAGGAGTGCCGAGAACCTTATTCCTTTAATTCAACAAACATCAATTTATTCCGACATTTGGAAGGCCCCCAACTCAATTTGACTGAAAAAGGATAACTCATGGAACAATCAAAAAAAATAAAAAATACTTCTCGATTATACCTCATTTATAGTCTCCATCGCATTTGTAAAAAATTCTTCTCCTACATTTTTGATAAATTTAACAAAACAGTATAATTCGAAATAGGGTTCCAATTGATCATATTCAATTATTCTAGAATCATTTGGATTTACATAAATTAGAACATCTCGTTGTAATTCCTTAGCTTTGCTATATTTTGATAATATTAGTTCCTTCAATGTTAGTTTTGCTTGTTCGGAATTAGTAGCAATTTGAATGTATTTTCGAAAGTCGTTGTAATATTTCTAGAGAATTGAAATAATTTAAAATTTTACCCTTATATGTATAGTACATTAGTGTTAATCTAGGCTTACGAATTAGGTATATGGAAAAAGTTAGATCCGCCCTCTATTAATATATTAGCTATTTCTGGATTAAATATTCAAAGTAAAAAGTACAATAAAAACCTACAATAGCTTGATTACTTAAATTATTTGATTTAATCACAGTTTCTTTTACTGAGTTAATCATAGTTCCATATCTATCTCGGACTCCCTCAAAAGCAGAACTCAGTTGCTCAAATTGATTTTCATTTCCGTTACAAAATATTTGAAATTTTACATTTCCAACAAATTTTTGAAGTTGTTGTCTTATGTAATAATCAGATGGGTGGAGATTTGGGATCCCTTCATTATGATGGAGATTTAACATTTTTGCATTTTCGCTCATAAAACTGTGGATTAAATTAATAAAATCGGTGACATAATCAAAAGCGAGGGAAGGACCCACGACATAAGATCAGAAGAAATCGAACCTGCCGCCCCCCTCCATCCAACGTCGATCCCTCTTGTCCAATCCCTCTTCCATCCAATCCCTCTTATATACAATCCTCCCCCCCCCCCCCCATCCCCCTTCTCAAATAAAAATTCAAACCCGTTCAATATTCTGATATCCTTTTTCGTATAATATTTATTTTTAAGCATAACAGGGCGCATTCTGTCAATAGACTGTATCAATTTGTCAGGCTTATTTATATCATTAATGTTATGTATAATATATTCAACAATTTCATTCAATTTCGAATTTTCCAAATTAATTTTTTCAGACTGATTAGAACTTTCTGCAGCTGCCTCTACCTTCTCTTTCCCTTTTGTTGATGAGGAGGACAAGTTAGAAGGATTTTTAGTATCAGATGATTCAGTATCTAAATAATAAATTCTTTATACTTTGTCGAATTTACAGGGTATTTATATATTTCTATAGGAACAGGGCTGCCCTCAGTCTAAAAAACTTTATTCAGTCGCAATCGACTAGTAGCTTTATTGAAATGCATTCAAGTTTACGATTTTTTGTTTATATTATAGTACATATCTTCCATTTTGTAGCGGGGCTCTCTCAAATAATTACCCTCTCCAGTGAGAGGTTGAAACAATAATTACCCAAGGAAATGTAGCGGGGACATCTGATACCATTCCCCGTTAATTTATTTTTATTTCTTCAATTTCACAATATCCCTTTCCCAAACATTTATCTCCCCTTTAAATCTTTTATTTGTTTCCCATGTCTTTCCTGTCTTTCCCGCCCCTCTTAACAACAAATACACTCTGGAATGATCAGTCCTGGAAGAATGGAGAAATTGAAATAATAATTTAATTCTTTTAATTCTGATTTTTGTATTTTTAATTATTTTTATTTCAATTTCAATTTATTTTTAATTTGAACTTATTTGTTTCACCCCGTATTTGGATTACCTTTAATAAAATATTTGTTGAACTAGATGTCCCCTGAGCTAATTATTTTTAGGATTAAATTTCACCGCGCCTCCCCCTTGTTTTCATCGAGTTTCCTAACCCCCTGAACCGGCGCTCTGAAGGGACCGGGGCACTCTTGAGCCTCGCGCTCCAATTATTTATAATGCATAAAAATATGATTTCTAAGACATAAAAGATCATACATAAATCAAACATGTAAATACATGTCAGTCGGAAATGAAGTTAAAAAAATCGACAAGCAGCTTAACAAGCAGCTGGAAATTCTATCTAACACTATTTTATTACCTGATTCAGTATCACTAGTTCCATCAGAATCGCTGATCGAGCCCCATTGATCACTAATTTCACCATAACTCATTGATGTGTTTGGATAGTATGTCCGTGTATTAGAGGTTACGTGATAATGTTGGGGACTATTATTTCCATTATCTGTGTATTTTTGCTCATGCTGAATATTCTGATATTGAACATAATTTGGTCTGGGCGTTGTACCGTTAGAGCCAGATCTGCATGAAAGAAATATTCGGTTATCCACAATTTACCATGGAATTGTCGGTAATTTAGAAAATCCTACCCTCTCCCTATATGAATCTCAGAGTAATTTTCCTTTTACTATTACTAATCATCTATTTCCCTCATGCATTATAAGTAAAAGTTCCATAATGGAATCATCTCAATACCGTATATGCTCGAATAATTACCCTCTCTCAAATAATTGCCCCCTCTCAATTAATTACCCATGTAGTGAGAGGTTGAAAAGAGGGCAATGCTTAGGACAATGCTTTTTAGACAATGCTAGGGAAACTACCAGGGTTTTTATTCTGATATTCGTTATAATAATACCCTTTATTATATTTTATTCTGAATAATTGGAAAAAAACGTTTGTAATTATAGTACCCCATAATTAGGTATTTATTATAAACTTATTTGAATAAGGTATTGTCGCGCTTGCGCAAAAATTTATATTTTTGAATTCCGAGAAGTAAATATTTAAAACCCCCCACCTCTTTTTAGTTTTTCTGAAGCAATTCCCTGCATCCACAAGGTATGGTTTACACAAAAAAATAAAAAGACTGGTAGTTAAAAGGGAATATACAAATAATTGAATAATTCCTTTGTTTTTCGAATACATTTTTGGAGGTTTTTAAATAATTTGTTTAATTATGTTTAATTAAACATAAGGCAAATTAACTTTAATTAATAAGAATTTTTAATGAAAAAATCAAAAATCTATATTAAAAATTCAATAATAGTGAAGGGAGAGAAGGGGAGGGAAGGGTGATGTCCTATTCCTGTCCAGGGGGGGGGGAGAAATAGATAGAGAAAATAAAAGTGTTGGCAAATATAAAATTGGCATGCCCAAGAGATAGCCAAAAAGACAGAATGTCAACAGCTAAAGAGACTTTTAAAATTCTCTTATTGACTGTCTGTTAAGGATAGATTTGGAAATCTGCAAAAAACTACAGCTCCTCGAGGTATGATTGCGCTGTCCAGACAGACTAAAAGCCAAGTAAACAAAGTTAGACAGATTTTCTTTTGAAATAAAAATATTTGTTTAAAAATTATAAAACAAGTAAAAATTAGTCTGTAAAAATACGAAACATGCACTTTCAACAAGACATTAAGGACTGTTAGGGTAATAAGAAAATCAGACGATTCTGTCTTTAAATTATCATTAATCTTTAAGCTTATGCCGGGGCATTCTTCAGAACCTTTTTTGGAACTACTTCCATGTTCAACTTGTTTAAATTGCTAGAACTCAGTCATTGAATTTATTTAGAATTATTTCCAGAACCTTGATTCATCTTTTGGATACTTTTTCTAAAGGACTGTTAATGTAAGGGTCAAAGGTGTTTTCGGAGTTTATTTCCTAATGTTTATATCCGTTTTATCGTTTATAATTCCCTCCCACTTTTCTCACATTTAAAAGGATTTGTAATCACCCTACAATTGTCTTATTGTTCTTTCACTTATTTGGATTTAATAAATATATAAATTGAGTGTTTAATTGTATGGGGGCGAGATCAAACCTTGAGTATATCCTAGGAAGTCCCGAGCATATTCCCTCCTGTATTCCATTATTCTGGGGTTTGGGCCCACCGCATTGGTAATATCTTAAACCTGGTGTCCCACCTCTATTTTAATTATTTAATCCCTTTATGTCCTATGCCTGTCCGAGATTTGCCGATATAGAAAGTAATAATTTAAACGAGGCTTATCTTTTATTCTTTTGTTAGTTGAACAAAAGTTAGCTTGAACAAAAAGTTATTAATTCTATTCTGTTTTTTACACCTTCCTTTAATAAATGTACCTAATTATAATTCAGGAAAAGTTGGCCAGGCTCTTCAAAGATAATAATAAATACGCGATCCAATTCATAATATTTATTTACTTTACGAATAAATACATAGGTATGATAACCAACATAAGGGGAAATAAGCGACAACAACTCGTTTCTAGCTAAGACTTGGGAAAATGTAGTTGTAATATAGAAAGTATGAATAACAATAAATGGTTAATAATGTAAAGCATATAGCTATTTAATTCCTAAGGCTATGCAGTAGGCGGCGTGGTAATTGATAACACATCAGCCTGGTCTACAGAAGATGATGGTTCGCTCCAAGCCGCCGAATAACCTTTTGCACTAGCTAAAGGAGAGAAATAGCTATATCCCAGCTGCTTTACACAATAAATAAATTGATGTGGATATGTTTCGCCTTACTTTAAAATAAGTTATCAACATCCCTGATATGTATCCGTCTCAAAACTTTTTGGGAAGCATATATAAAAAGTATGTTTAGGAAAAGGATAAATAATAAAGATTGGCGTTTTGCGAAAGAAAATAACATTCAAAAGAGGGAGAGACAAAATCTCGTGCTACTTTCATAGTAAAGCAGCTGGGCTATAGCTATTTATCTCCTTCAGCTAGTGCAAAAGGTTATTCGGCGGCTGGGAGCGAACCAGCATCTTCAGTAGACCGGACTGATGTGTTAGCCATTACACCACGCCGCCTAATGCACAGCCTTAGGAATTAAATAGCTATATGCTTTACATCATTTTGTTTCCGCATCTTTTCTGTCGCAAGATGCTCAGATTTTTATACAACTCTACATCACTTCCACACTCCTTTTTTCTTCCGTCAGTTTTTGTTCAAGTCTTATAAGATTCCCTACAATCTTTTTGATTCTCTTAATCTTCTTCACTAGACATTTCTATTCCTTCATAATTATAAAATTCTCTTTGACTAGATATTTTTTGTATAAGTCTTCCAAGTATATTTCGAATATCCTCACGTAAACTATAGCCAGTCGTTGTTATATTTTCATTATTAATTACATTAATTATTTCGTCATAATTTTTGGCATATTTTTTTTTGAAATACTCCTTTTGTTCTGGAGTTAATTCTTTTGGTTTTTCCCCTTTTTTCTTCTCTTTCTCGGTCATCTTTTCGTTCTCGCTCATAAAACTTTAATTTTAAAGATTAATTTTTAAGATAATCATGTAGATTTAATTTATAGCTCGTAATCATGTACTATAAATTTGCTATATTTGAGGATTATATAGCTTACTCGGGTTCTACTATTCTAGGGACTTAGATTAGACTGAATTACACTAATATTTATCTTATTAATTTATTTTAATTTATTCTCCATATAAATATGGGCACAATAATAAGGGAGAGATTGGCTAGGCCAAATCTGATAATGGGGAGAATGTTTGGTTATTTATATAGACAATTTTATGGTCAATATATAAACAGAAAGTGAATAACTAAATTAAGAAAGAGTCAAGAATTGGTTGGGAATGTCGGGAGACCTTTATATTTAGAACAAGGTCACTTTTATATTTGCATGTGAAAATGCAAATTGTTTATTTGATTAAGCGAATGCAACAAAATTAAAATTACGATACCGATAAATACCGATTAACTTAAAAATTTTACAGAACCGTATCCCTTACATTATTACAGATAAGTAATGCCAATAAATATCGAAAAATGTGGACTTTACTAGAGCTTGTTCTAATTTAGATATAAAATTTTACATTATAATAAAGAAATGGTATATGTACTATTTAAATATGGTTAAGTAAAAAATTTCTGGTTCAGGAATAAAATTAATTAAAATATGTAAATATAATACCCGTCTAATAACTGAATTAGATGATTTTGGTTTTCAGCATAATTTATAGCTTGGCATATGTTTTCGATAAATTCTTTTAATTCTTCAGGCTGTAAAATATCATTAAGGAAAATTTTTGCGCCTTCATCTATACCATGTTTTTCATACATATGTCCAATTAATGTTTTGAGAGAATGAATTTCCCACTCAAGATGTTTTTCCAAGTTTTCATTGTACTTTCCTTGCTTGTAATATATGCATCCTTCATGTATTGCGGCTAGTTTCTTTCCTTTTTGCTGACTTTTTAAATATTTTTTGGAAGATGTCTTTGAACTTGAAGGTCTAGCGGAATGACTAGTTGATGGTGAAGGATGGGAAGTCTCGACATCGGTGTACTTCTGAAATGATTAAATATGAAAACTTGCTCTTCAAAAGTGTTAAAATAACCTTTACACTTTTTATTTCTCCAATTATATCTTCAGATATTTGTTTACCAATTGGTTTGGAAATTTCTGCCTTGCTTTGAGATATATGAAGGGTGTCTTTGTTCTTGTTATTATCTACTAGATCATTGTTGTCAATTACAATTCCGCGGTTTTTTGACTTTTTAGATGTTGGCTTGAGACTGAAAAAATAATGTAAATATTAGAATAAAAAAATTCTTCCCTATATTAATTTCTTTGTAAGGATGAAGGTAAAGCAAGTCCTACGATTAATTCATTTACTAAACGCAGACACCCCAACTAACCGCAAAGCTATAACTTTGTTTAGAATTGTTGAATCCAAGAAGACCTGGTATGGTTCGATACAGCTTGTCGAGTCGCATCAAACCATACCAAGTCGTCCCGGATTCGACAATTCTGAAGTTATAGCTCTGCTACAAGTTGGGCTCGCGGTAAGTTGGCCTGCTCCCAACGAATTGAGATGACGAAGCCGTCAATCAAAAACTTTTAAGAGGTCGCAGTAAATGCCGGGAGGTCGCCTGCCCTATGGCTAAATTTTTTAAAGCTTTCTCTATTAAAAGAATTTGTCATGTTTTACCAATTTAAAAATCCCCCAAAAGCATCTGTAGTAGTTAAATAAATCATTAAATAAAATGTTGAAAACATTAATAGACGAATAATAATTTTATTTTTGTTTGTACACATTTTACAATAACAAATTTTTGTTGTTTTTATACTATTTAGTTGTTTTTAAGCATTCAATTTTAACGAAAATGGTTTTGTTTTAAATGAAAGCGCTTTGATGTTTAAAGATACTTTCCTCAATTTCTTTGAGTTTTGCCGTAAAGAAATCTGGGGGATAAGCAAAATTCAAAGGCAATACTTTTTTAAATAAATTTGACAAAAAATTTTTAAGAGAAATCTAATAGCTAGGCAATGAATTACCCTCTATGTTAAATGGGGAGGTCGACATGCCTGCCAGTCAAAAAATTTTTTTATAATAAGGCAAAGCATGCCCCAAAAATTGATTTAGAGTGCATGACAACGAGTAATGCGAGGAATCGCGCTGACTTTTCCTTATGATTTGCTAAAAGTTGAGTGTTTTTAAAGAGAGAAACAACAAAACTGCCCAACACAAAAGTCCTAATAGCCAATATTAACTATGCCCCTCAAAGCATGAAAAAGGCCAAGTCAGTATAAAAGCTTTTGAAACAACATCATTCGCCAAATTTAAATGATTTTCAAATCGCTTAATTAATTGTTGGCGTTGTGTTTTAAAAAATATAATTTTTAGTGACCGGTAAAATCAATTTTTCCGGAACCGGATTTGCAACTTTAGCAAGACCGGATCCGGCCGGATTTTCCGGATAAATCCGGTCCGGTTTTAATCCGTAAATTTCAAAAAAACCCGGATTTGGGACCCGGACTCCGGAAAAATCCGGCCGGATCCGGTCCGGCCCCGGTCACTAATAATTTTGTATCGTAGTAAGAATGCACAAGGAGCTTCGACAGAGAAAAAAAGACTGTAGTAGGCCAGAATAGTTTCTACGCAGCTATACTCTGCTTAATCTTTTGAA